ATCAAGAAATCTGAAACCATCATCAGATTTCCATTCATATTTTTCACCTAAACATAGTGCTATTGAACCTGGGCAACACATTACCTCTCTGGGCCAAGGTTTCTTAAGCCATAAATCAAGGGGCTTGAACTACATCATTTTTAAGGTTCCTTCTAATTCTATCATCTGCACTGAAGCTGCCAAAACTTCACCTATTTTGTCAGTGATACAGAAATAACGGGTAAAGTTTCAGATGGTGCTAACAAGTTGAACAATGATAATCAAAGAGGTATGTTTCTGATATCTTAAAGGCAAAGACCTCATTTTATTTATCATTATATCTACCCCATAATTAGTCTACAGCACACATACAATATGCTAAATGTTTATTGAATGCTGAATAAATGTATGCTTCAAGAGAGCTGCTTAATCTTTTGATGATTAATTTTGCAGAAAGACAGCAGGTCTCCTGCCCCTTAGGTCAAGACAGCTGCACGTCTTCCACTTCAACTTTAAGAGTATCAAATCCTGAAATTCAAGTGGACATCAGAGCCCTTTTGAAGGGCTTCAACTTTATGTTATCTGTAGTATCAGCATCACAGAGAAGTAATCTCTGAGGCCATCTACTTTGACCTCCTCATTTTACAGATGAGGAAACTGAGATCCAGGGAAATAAGTGGTAATTGCCTCACACAGCCAGCAAGCTTCAGGGGCAGGATTTGGACCATGTCCTCTGACTGGAAAGCTAGTACTATGCTAAGATTTCTCCCATGTAGACAACTTCTTCACCCACAGCCTTCTGGTTTAGTCCTCTAGTCAAGGAGTTACCAAACATACCACCGAGTACAACATTCCAGTGAGGCCCAAACCACGGCCCAAATTTTATTAAAATGTGATGGGGAAATAGTTCTTAAAAATAAATAAAAGTACAATAAAACATAGATAACATTACATTTTAAAACTAAGTCAATATGTAGCCAGTGGAGAAAGATCCTTATGTATAGTTTAGTGGCCCCATGTCTATTTAAGAAGACAGGACTCATCAGAAAAGACCCTGATGTTAGGAAAGACTGAAGGCAAAAGGAATAGAGGATGGCAAAGGATGAGACAGATATAGAGTATCATGGAACCTGAAACAACGAACATGAACTTGGACAGACTTTGAGAGGTAGCAGAGGACAGAAGGGCCTGGTGTGCTATGGTCCCTGAGGGTTACTGAGTCAGACACAATTGAACAACAACAAAAGCTCAAATTTGATCTCTGTAAAGCTGTTAGCACAGTACTTGGTATATAGTATGTGCTATATAAATACTAGCTATCATTATTATAATATACTTATTAATAAATAACAAATATACTTTAAAGTACTTTTATTTCTTGCAAGGGCTCTAGCAGCCAGTTACCTGATGGAGGAAGAAGAATCATGAAAGGTCTCAAGTAGAAGGAAGTTATGGATTCTAGGAGTTGAAGGGAAGGACATAATATTCCAGGTGGTCGGGAATGGATTGTCAAGTGTATGAGAAAGTGCTGATTATGAGAAAAGGAGAAAGCTTCTCCTCCAAAATACAGTCTTTTGAGCAAAACTCAGGCAGCTCTCTGCCTCCAAAGTAAGATATATCTTTGGCCTTAATTATTCTAAAATAATAAGCTAACACAGCATTTTAAAGTTTACAAAGCACTTCACAAATATTTTCTCATTTGATAATCACAACTCTGTACAGTTGTTACTATACCTATTTTACAGATGAGAAAACCTAGGCTGAGAGGTTAAGTACCTTGACCATGGTCATTTAACTGTGTGAGGCAGAATTTGAACTCAGGTCTTCCTAACTCCCTCTAACACTTTATCCACTAAACCACTTAGCTACTTCTGCAAGCCCTCGAGTGTTCTTTAAGTGCTTCTTGGTAGACATTAAGTCAGGTCCTGTTTCAGTACCCTGAATGAGGCTGTGAGAGAGGCAACAGTTATGCTTGTAGCTAAACCAATGATATTTTCTGATACTCACAAGTGACCAATCCCTCATGGTCCTGGAAAACCAGGTACTTAGTAACTTCCTTGATGACATGAATGCAGGAAAGATCTGTAACAGTCAAAATAGGAACTCCTAGTATGGAAGTTTCCTCCATTGTCTGGCTGGCAGATACAACCTCTAGGCACAAGGAGGTTAAGTGACTTGTCCCTGAAGTCACAAAGTGTTAAGTTACTAGTGACAGGATTGGAAGAAAGATGTTCCTGGGCTTATGGTCCTGTACCTCTCAATGATTAAGGTTATTAGCACATTAAAATTAATTTTTCAGGTGTGTTTGCATTACATGACCAGAGAGTCAGGCTCACCTAAAACAAACAGGGACAGGGAATTGTTTGTGGTCAAGGTTGGTGGTCTGTTGCAGTACTACAGCAGGAGAGAGGTGTAAAGGTGTAGTAGACAGTGGTCCAAAATGCCTATTGGACATTAATTAGCTGCAAGCCTAAGTTTTCTTATTTTTGAAATAGAGATAAGACCAGGCTAAGTTCATATCTCATGGTTAGATTCAAATAAGAATATATGCAAATCACTTAGCCAACCTTACAGGGTTATATAAATAACAGCTTTATTATTTTAAGATTAACTGAGGTTCCCAGGTAGCTGTCAAAAAAGATATTTTGGAGCTGTTTACAAAGCCACCACATCTGCCATAAAACTTTTATACATAAGTCATAATTGTTTATGGCTTTATTTCTACTGAACAAAAGGAAATGATGCTAAATTGCTTAATAAGTTTGGTAGTACTCTCACTTTAATGGTTATTGCTAAACAGACTAAGTTTTGTTGTTGTTGTTGTTATTTTAGGCAAAGGGGTTAAGTGACTTGCCCAGGGTCACACAGCTAGTAAGTGTTATGTGTCTGAGGCCGGATTTGAATTCAGGTCCTCCTGAATCCAGGGCTGGTGCTCTATCCACTACAGGAGTTTCTTCAGGCAAAAGAATGACCTATTTAATAGTTTTAGTTTCTACCTTTTTATATCTATTCTGAGAAATCAGAATCCCTTTTCATTACTCTATCTTAATTAGTTTTAAACAATGCAGCAACATTACCACTCCTCCTACCAAGAAAGAACTGATCAAATTATGTCATTACTAGGGTTTTTATTTTTAAATACATCGTTTCTTTTCGAGCCAACAACTTAAAAGTATATTTCCTACTCTCTATGTTTACATGGACACACTGAAAAGGCAAATTACCTAAGGAACAGAGGCATTAGGACAAGAATCGTCACATTTCTAAAGCCACTTACCAAATCTGTGGCCAAAAAGACACCACTGATTTAGCTTTTTCAGTTCTTTTTTGTGAGAAGAGGTTTTAGGTATTCAGCCATTTTCTCTTCCTCACTACCTTATAAAACCTCAGGGCAACTAGATGGCCCAGTGGATACAGGCTGGGCCTGAAGTGAAGAAGACTCCTCTTCCTGAGTTCAAATCTGGCCTCAGACACTTAATAGTTGTCTGTGACCCTAGGCAAGTCACTTCACCCTGTTTGCCTTACTTTCCTCATCTATAAAATAAGGTGAAGGAAATGGCAAACCACTCCAGTATCGTTGCCAAGAGAACCCTCAATCAAAAAGCAGGGATCAATCTCCTCTACAACATCCCTGACAAGTAAACCTCTGATGGAATACTGTTAGTGATAGCTCACTAATTCAAAAAGCAACCATTAATGGACAGCTCTAGCAGTCAGAGATGTCAAATTTTATATAGCATATCAAACACTTCACAAATATTATCTCATTTGAGAACCACAACAACTCTGGAAAGAGGTGTTATTATCCCCATTTTACAGATGAGAAAACTGGGGCAAATTGAAGTTAAGTGACCTGTCCAGGGTCCCACAGGTAGTTAAGTGTCTGATGCTGAATCTGAACTCAAGTCCTCCTGACTCCAGACCCAGGGCTCTATCTACTGCCTGACCTAGCTTCTCCAACAAATGGAATCCCCTCTGTGGATCTATAAAAAGCCTATTTTTTCTAGATACACTAGTGATGTTCTCCTAGTGTATTCTCCCTCTGGGTCAACAAGCAATTCTTTTATGAAATAGTTTATTCCCTGTGATCATTTTCCTGGTTGTCTTCCTCTATACTGGCTAGTCTGTCAAGGCCTCTCTAAAAATGTGACATTGAGGACAGGACACAAGATTCCAGGTGTGGTTTGATCAGAATCCAGCTGGACTACAAAACCTCTACTACCTAAGATGGAACTGTACTACTTGAGTATTTGCAGCTCTTTTATCTAATTAACTTGAGTATATGCAGCTCTTTTATCGAATTAATTAACTTTAATACTTGCAGCTCTTTTATCTCAAGAAAGTCAACATACTCATTCCTTGAATTAATTTGTTAACCCTGCTAAGGAGAACAATTCACGTTTACAGACAGCTTCAAGGTTTATGACTTTTTCTTAAAATAACCTCGGTAGATCTAATTCAATCACAAGGGTCCCCATTTTACAAAAGCATCAACCCAACAGCACAGATGAAGTGACCAGCCTAGGGTCACACTGCCAGGAAGTGGCCGAACTAGACTCAAAACCTGGATTCCTGAATTCAAGTCCTTCAGTTTTTCAAAAAAAAAAAAAGTTCATTAAGGCTTTTTGTTTTCGTATCAAGTTATTTCTGGATAGGTCGCCCCCACCCCCCAACTTAAAAGAACCTTCCCGGATAACACGGAAAAATACTCAAGCAAAAAATAAACGATTTGGCGACCTCATCAAACGGTATGCGCTATTCTGCCCCAGTAGCCCCTGCTCAACGGGGGCGGAACGACGGCAGAAGATGAGCCACCTGCCCGGCGCGGCAGCTGCGTCAGGGGATCTCCACGTGCGGGGGACCCGCGGACAAGACCCGGGGGGGGGGTCTTGGGGGCCTCTCGGCCCGGGAGCTCCTTTCCCCTGCCCTCTGAGGTCGGAGCGGCACAGAGCCGGCTCCGGGGGCCGGGGGTGGGAGTTTACATGTCCACCCCCCTTCCCAGCCACTGCTCCGAATCTCACCCGCCGCCAGGCACAGGCCCCGGACGCTCCCCATGGCCGCCAGTGTATAAACACACGTCCTTCCCCCGCGCAGAGCTGCCCAGCCAGCCTCCAGCTGCCCAGCTCCGGGGCTGAAAGTCACCAAGGACCCAGTGACGTAGCGCCTGAGCTGGCCGCACCACCGCCGGCACCGTCCGACTCCACCCACGTGGTGCCCTCGGGGAGTGAGGGGGGCGGAGGAGGGAGCGGCTCCTCCCGTGGGTTGGGTTACGCTGCTCCTCTGTGGCACGTAGCTTATGTCGTTGGTTCTGACTTGTTCTTAGTGCCAGAGGCTCATTTATAAAGACGTGATTTTTGTTGTTAAATTGCCTTCCTCTCCACACACTACCTCCCCTTTTAGAAATGGATCATATAAAGGATTTCCTACAATTTCAGCATGGCATCTTGGAAAAAGCACTAGCCTGAGAGTCAGAATATCTTGGTTCTGGTCTTGTCTCCAGTTTATTCTGTGTATATCTTGTCAGTACATAGTTTTTGCATATTGTCTCCCATTTTAGACTTCCGAGGTCCTTGAAGGCAAGGGCTGTCTTTTACCTTTCTTTGTGCGCTTAGCACACTGCCGGGCACACAGTAGGTCTGAGTGCTTTAGCATTGGTTTATATGACTTTAAGCAATCAAAAAACGTTCTGCACACGGTCAAGAATCTCAAAGGAGGGGCAGCTAAGTGGCACAGTGGATAGAGCTCTGGCCTTGGAGTCAGAAGGATGTGAGTTCAAATCCAGCCTCAGACACTAGCTGTATGACCTTGGGCAAGTCACTTAACCCGGATTGCCTCACCAAAAAGCAAAACAAAAAAAAGAATTTCAAAGGAGTCAAATTACTCATTCTTTGAATTTATTTGTATCAGTGCTGCTAAAGAGAACAATTCGCATTTACAGGAAGTTTCAAGGTTTACCACACCTTTTCTCACACTTATTATTAAGTGCTTACTATGTGTCAGGCACCGTGCTAATAGATACAAAGAATAGGCAAAAGACAGTCCCTGCTCTGAGGGTAGGATGAAGACTGAGGTGGAAAGTATAAGACAGGGGGAAGGCTCATGTTTCACCTGGACTAGATGCTCATGTCTTTTCCAACTTTAAGATTATAATTTTATGAGTCCTGTGGATGGCCAATTGGGTCCCATTATTAAGGGAATAAATAACCTATGCATTAAGTCCTATAGTGGTCTTCCCCAGCATTGTTATACAGGGGAGTGGAGAAGATCCAACAGTATACTTTGCATGTTATGTATAATATACATTGACATTTACTCCCAGTTGTTTCTTTTCTTTAAGGATTCAACTAACTTTTTGTTTCTGTCACTTTTAAAACTTATTTCTCTCAGCAGTCCAGTAACCAAACCATTCCTCACTCGCTCAGCCAACAGTCCTTGAACCAAAGTCAAGGCCATCCGGAGGTGAACAGTTAACTGAGACAAGGGTGAAGATAGTTAGAATTAGGAGTAGGGCGGGGAAACAACAGAATGGAAGAGCCAGAAATGAGAAGACAGGAGAAGGGAGTCTACTATACTTCCTCGAGTTGAGCTTTTCTGCCCCATGCCAGGCCATTTCTGTTCAGGCTTTGCCTCGGACAGCCTCGCTGCTCCGTGATTGGCCTCCGCCGGGGTCCTCGCGCCTGTCCAATATGTCGGCGCCCAGTGGAGGAGTGAATTGTGAGGAGATCGCTGAGTTCCAGGTGAGGGGCCCCCTTGGGCCAAGCGCACCCCAACTTCCTGGGCCCGCGGGGCCCGTATTCCCGCTTGGGCCAGAGGAGTGAGCCGGGTTCTGCTCGGGCGGAGGAGCGGAGCGAGAGGCTCCTTCCTCAGGGCCCGTGGAGGTCACGGAGGGGCGAGGACACCGCTTGCGGGAAGCTCGAGAGCCGCTCCCGGGGGGGGGGGGGGGGGCTGGGTCTCTTTCCACGCGGTCCCGGTCTTTGCCTGCTGAGATCTCTTCTCGGCTTGGGACCGGGAGCACCAGAGAAGCCGGTGGCTCCGGGCCCCCGCGAGGAACATCATGAGGTCCCGTCCCCCAGGAGTGGTCGTCTCGGACCCGGGGCGGAATGAATGGGGGTGATCCAGAGAGCCCCGCCTGGTCTCGTCTCCCAGCCCCCCACCGTCATCCCTGCCTGGCTAGCGAGAGGGGAGCAGGACCGTGCAGGGGCTGAGAGAAGAGGAGAGAGGGAGAGAAGAGAGGGATACACACGGAGAAAGAGTGAGAGTGTGTGCGAGTGTAGACACGTGTTCGCAGGGTGGAGGTTGTCTTGTGTCTTCTCGTGCTGTCTTCCTGTCTGCCTCCTCTCCTTCCCTCCCTTCCTTTGTCTACCACTTTGGGGGGGGGGTGTCTCTGTGTCTGAGTTTGGTACTAGTTATGTATGTGGGTGTGTTTAGTACCAGTTTGGGGAGCGGGGTGTCTGAGTTTGGTACCAGTTAGCTCTCCGTTTCCCTCCCCCCACCCCTTTTCCTTCCCCCCTGTTTGGGGGGGGGGGGGTTGAGGGTATTACCAGTTTGGGGATAGCATCGTGTGTCTTCTGGTGCTCACTGGCAACCAAGTTAAAACGTGCAATTCAAGTTGAACAGAAAATTGAATTTTGGATCCCTTCCCCGGGAATTTTTATGAAGTTTGTTGTTACAAGCCAAAGGGATGAATGCTTGGGAGGGAAAACCTTCAGAAACCTACACTGGAGCTCTACCAATGCCTTTTGTCCCACTAGAGAAAAAAGTTAAAATAGACTGAAAAGGAAAAAAAAAGCCACCTGTAAGATTAAATCCCAGAGCAGATCCAAATAACTGTAGCATTATGAAGGAATTTTGGAATACACAGCATGCATTCGAATGACATTGTTTTCGTAGTTATGTGGACTTTTGGGGGAAGGGATATTTTTAAATCCTTTACTCCCCACACACAATAATATTAACCACATTTTTCATGTGTGTGTAAACCTACTCTAAAGATAAATGTTTATTCAGGTGTTTGAGATTTCAGAGTGATCTGGTCTTGCTAAAGAAAATGGTGTATTAGGCCTAAGTTTGGGTACCCAATACATGAAATATTAATGTGTCTTATATCTTGTACAATATTACAAGTGGACTTGTCCTTGAAGGCCATTTGGGCCACCCCTGTATTTTGCATATCAGACACTAGAGGCAGGGGCAGCTGGGTGGCACAGTGGATAGAACCCAGCCTGGAGTCTGGAAGGACCCGAATTCAAATTTGTAATAAATGTTTATTCCATCCATACATCTTAAGAAGATGTCAATGATCCACTTTCAGTAGGACATAGTTGCAGTGATTATTCTACCAAACATAAGATTTGATATTTTTGCATATATGATTTCATTGGTATAGGGAACTTTAAGGTGAGGATATTCTATCAGTCAACACACATAGGTAACTGTTCTGCAATTTATAGCCTTAGAGAGCTGCCCAGGGAACACTTGATAAGCTTAGGTCATTGGAAGTCATACAGCCATTATGTGTTGGAGGCAGAACTTGAAACCCAGGTTTTCCTAATTGAGGCAAACTATCCACAGTGTATACATTTAGCATGCAGAAGGAAATGATCTTTGCAGGTCATTTTTTACAGACTATATGCTACTATTTGTTTTCCTAAGTTGTCCAAAATTTACATGTGTTCACCACCTTCCGTTACCAGTGTCTTCTCTTAACTGATTTCCTAGCTATGGCAATTCTCTTAAAACTGTTCCTTATGTAAATACGTCATATGAGCATAGTCTGGCAGAGTTAGATTTATCGTCATCTGATTCAGCCTTCCTCATGTTACAGGTGAGGAAACTAGGGCCCTGAAAGGTGAAATGCTTTGATCAAGGTCACACTGCTGTTTAGTGGCAAAACTAATACTAGACCCAGATCACTTGACTGCCGAGCCCCTGACATTGCCACTGTGTTATCAGAACAACCTTCTGACAGTAGCAGGTCTCAGTCTGCACTCTGAGAATGCCACCTCTTTATCGGGAGGTGGGCAGCATGCTTCTTAATGTATCCTTTAGAATCATGGTTGATCAGAGTTCCCAAGTCTTTCAAAGTTTTTTGTCTTTACAATATTGTTGTTATAAATTGTTTTCTTGGTTCTTTACCACAACTCTGCATCAGTTCGTACAAGTTTTCCCAGAGTTTGTCTGAAACTTTTCTCTTTTTTTCGGCACAATAGTATTCCATCACAATCATATACCATAACATCTTCAGCCACTTTCCAACTGATGGACACTTTCTCAATTTGCAGTTCTTTGCCAGGATAAATAGACCTATAAATATTTTGTAGATAGGAGTCCTTTTCCTCTTTTTTGATCTCTTTGGGAGTGTTAACCTAGTAGCAGTATTGCTGGGTCAAATGACAGGCACAGTTTAAGAGTTTCGGGGCATGGTTCTAAACTGCTCTCCAGAATGGCTGAACCAATTCACTGTGCTGCTCTTTGTATAAGAAAATATTACTAACTTACCTTCTCTCCTTATAGGTTTGTTTACCCTTTTATCTGATCTCTTGTGATAATACATTTAGATTTGAATTGTCACTAAGCTAGGAGTACTACCTGTTCTTTTTAAAAATTGTTTTCCTGTGTAAAGTTGATTGACACATTCCAAGCAAACTTGTGACTTCTCTATACCAGACATTTTAGTGATCTTCAGCCAGAGGTTCTGTCCTGCTTTTCCAAAATTCCAGGTTCTTGAAACATGTGTTGACTAGAAATTTCTGTAGGAACCAAGACTCTGAAATCTGGAAGGGACACAAGTGTCAGTCCAATTACACCATTACAACATTCCTAGGACTTCTACAAGAAGAACCCCTGCGATAGGGTACTCAATAGGGGAGGTCTAAAACTACCTACAGTGCATAAAGCTTTATGCTAAGTACTATGGATGCAGCAGTAAAAAATGAATTAGTTCCTGCAGTCAAGGAGTTTGCATTCTATGGTTTGGAATGTCCTTTTATTATGGAAAAAGCTTATGAAATTTTCCATTTTATAAGCAATGGGTGTGTCGCAACATGGTTTTTCATCAAAATTCTCTTTCAGGACATGAAAAAACATAGAAAGGAAGGACATTATTCTAGTTATGAACTTGAGCAGTTTGACTTCACCTCCTGTCAGCCTTGGTTTCCTCATTCTTTAAAGGGGATTGGATTAGATAATCTCTAAATTTCCTTCCAGTGCTTTAACTTTGGAACTTTGTTTAAAAAAGTTCTTTAGGG